CTGTGCCTTAGGGCCCCCCCCCCCAGCACTACAGCTCTGACTACTAAATAAAACATCCCCATCTAGTGGTGATTCTGCAAAAGGGCAGACACTTGATCCCAAAGGCCCATGGAGGCTTCATTCATTTATTCAATGACTGTTGGTTGAGCACCTACTATGTGCTGGCATTTATTCTGCATGCTGGGAATGGATAGACAGACAGAGTCCCAGCCTCACAGAGCTCACACTCTGATGAGGACTGACAGACACAAGCAAGTAAATAAATAAGAGAAGTACCAGTTATGAAAGTGCAGTGAATAAAATAAACAGGACTGGAAGGGAGAGTGGCTGGAGAGAGCCTTGGGCCAGGTGGTCATGGAGAGCGTCTCTGACGAAGGCATGTTTGACCAAGACTTAAAGAGTGGGATGGATCCGGCCACTCGAAGATCCTGGAGAGAACTGTTTTAGACAAAGAGGACAGCGAGTGCAAAGGCCCTGGGACAAGACTCTGCCAAAGGGATCGGTGTGCCTGGAGAAGGGTGTAGGTGGCAGAGTGAGGGACTATGAGGGTGCAGAGGTTGGTGAGGGCTGGATCATGGTAAGCCTGCTTTGGAGACTTGGGATGTCTTCCTGCCATAGTGGGAACCCGCAGCAGGGATTTAAGCGGGAGAGTGAACCTAACCCAGGTTCCATTTGAAGAAGGTTTCTGTTTATTTCCTTCCATCAGGGGGAAAGAGCTGATGACAGGGATTGGGGTGGTGGCTGAGAAGATGGAGAGAAGAGAGCAGAGCATGGCATATCCTAAACACAGAGAAATCAATGGAACCTGCTGGTGGCCTGGATGTGAAAAGTCAAAGGAGGGGAGGGATCAAGCTTGGCTGCCAGTTTTCTGGCTCAAGTAGGAGGTGATGCCATTTGCTGTGGGTGAAGGACAGGCTTGGTGGGCAGAGGGAGCACTTCCATCATGAATTCCCTTTTGGGGGTCTTGGGTTGTTGATGTCTGAGACACCACGTGAGATGTGAAGCAAGCTGTTGGAAATAGGAGATGAATTCTAAGGAAATGGTTCCCATTACCTGGGCCCACATGCTACCCAGGTGCACTAACCCAGGGCACCCCCTCCATGCAACCTGCACTCCCCCACTTCTCCTGTTTTCTTCTAGGCTACTCCTTACAGTCAGTACTTGCGATGTGGCCAGGTGTGACCAGGCCTTAGGGACGAAGGAAAAGGAGTCCAAGTTTCTTTCCTTTTCTCTTTTCAAACCCTGACTCCTTATGGCGAGTTCTCTGTTTTCCCAAACCTTGGAACCAAGCCCTGGGGGTGAGATGAGAGCTGCCAGTGACCCTCTGTCTCTCTGCAGGTGAATGTGCCCTTGGTCCCAGTGTAGGCTGCCTCTGTGGGCTGAGGGCCTGCGAGTGTGACAAGCGATCTTCATACTGCTTCAAAGAGAACCTGCCCACCTACGAGAAAAACTTCAAGCAGTTCTTCCTGAGCCGGCCCCGGTGTGGCAGGCGTAAAGTCCAGTGCTAGGGGGCCACAGGATCCCCTTGTCTGTCAGCATCTGCTCTGGGATCGCTTCTGGGAAGCCCTTTCCCAACAGTCCCCAGTTCATGTGGCTCACCCTCCAGCATTTGGCCCAGGTACTCCTTTGTCACTCAGCGTCAGAGGGGCTGGAGACCAAAGACAAAATCCTGGCATTCTATCGAGGGAGACAGATCATACGTTTATACATAAATCAATGACATGTTCTCATAGCAGTGAGTGCTGGGAAACAATAAAACAAGGTGACGGCACAGAGAGATGTCCCAACCCCCATCCCAGGAAATTTCCAGGAGAGAAGAGGCCCCAGGATCTTCCCTAAATTCTGCCTCCACCCCCACCCCAAATCAGGATGCAGGGTGGACTTGTGAATGGGCCCACAGTCCAGATCTAGCTGTGAGCTAGACATCCTGCAGAACCAGGCCTTGGCACCCCCCCCCACGGACCCAAGAGGCACACTCGGAGTTTGTTTCTCATGTGCTTAAGTTCTGCCTCCTGAAAACCCTCAGGTGGGAGAAAATTGAGGCCATCGTCACCTCCCAGAAGACAGAGCATGAGATCATCAGCACTACTGCTGCCACGTGGATGTCGTGGCCAGAAAGATGTCAAAGAAATGGAGCAAGAGGGCATCCAAAATTTCCATCCAAACTTGGAAGCTCCTGGTTGCATCAGACGTAAATTCTACAAAATATTAAAGTGATCTAACCTGGGTGGACCCTGATCTTTATAATGCCCGACTGGTATGGTGGATTGCAAAAACAGCCACAGTTTTTCTTACCTCTCTGTATCCTCACCTCTCACGATGTGACACTGGGCTTTTCCCATCAAGGTGTAGAATATTCCCCCCACTCCTTGACTCTGAACTCTGAACGGGCCTTGTGACTTGCATTGGTCAGTAGGATGTAGTGGGAGTGATGGTCTACCAGTTCCCCAGCCTAGGCTTTAGGGGGCCTAGTACGTTCGACTCTCTGAGGACACATGCCTCCACCGTGAGAAAAAGCCTGGGCCAGCCTGCTGGGGGCGGGAGCCCACCTGGACCAGAGTCAGTCAGCCCAGTTGTCTCAGCTGAGACCTCAGATGTGTGAGAATGCTCTGCGAACATTAGCAAAGCCGACTCATTGCTGACCACAGACGCATGAGAGAACCTAGCCAAGACCAAAACAACCGCCCTGCTGAGCCCAGGCTAAAATACCAACTGGCAGAACTGTGAGCTAAATAAAGGCTGCTGTTTTAAGTCGCTTGGTTTTGGTGTGGTTTGTTCTGCAGCACAGCTTACTGCATAATTTGTCTTCATTCATTGAGACTCCTGGGTTCGCAGCACTGTGCTGTACCTGGAGGCCATAGAAACACTGTGGGCATGGCCCCTGCCCCTTACCTTGTAGGTGGGGAGGGGAAAGGCCATGCTCATGTAATAATGAAGAACACAGAGGCATGTGATCACTCAGTCACCCAACCAACATTTATTGAGCTCCTGCTGTGTCGCTCACAGTGCTGGGCAGGAGGCATTCAAAGATTTAAAGAAAACAAACAAAATTGTGTCTGAATATCCTGGGGAGAACATTAGGAGCCATAGCAGCTGTTAGAAGTTCAAATTCGGACACTTAAAATCTGGTGTGAAGACAGAAAGGGAAGGTGGTCTGCAGAGGGTCTGGGGATCAGGGCTCCTTGGCTCTGCCCGACTCAGCTCCCATGGTCACTGTCACGTGGTAAATTGGTCTTTTTTTCCCACTTCCCTTTCCGCATGTGCTGTAGTGATTACACCTGCAGAAGGGAAGCTTGAGATCTGTGGGCATCAGAGAGGGTCTTCAAGGTCTGTGAGCAGAGTGGTTGCAGAAAGGCAGGTCTGGAACCAGGGGGCCCAGCCCCAGCCGGGCATCTCCCTTCTTGGGAGTTCCTGACCACAGCAGAGTGCCGCTCAGGACTGGAGGTGTCTGGCCATCTGCCACAGAGGAGGAAGAGGGGCTGGGGGGGCTCAGCATGGAGGACAAGGGTTCTAGTGAGACCCAGGCCATCTTCCATTCCCTGGGCCTCGGCTCCTGATCTGTAAAATAGAGGAAGTGGGCCTGAGATGGATTCAAGGCCCGCTCAGCATTGCTGTCCTAATTCTGAAAGGAGCAAGTGGGGTGGCAAAGGGGTGACATTGACTTTCACTGGGAAAGCCCGCTCTCCAGGAAGGGCAACCATCACCCCCTCAGCAAATACACACTGAGGCCTGGGCTAAGGGCAGAGAAATAAAATGCATCCGACTCCAACTTGCTCTCCGACTAGGGGCCGCACAAGTCAACAGGCAATCGCAAAACGGGCTGGGAAATGCTGGAATTGGGGTGGGCTTGGAGCAATGAGCAACCTCTGGGAGGGTCAGGCGAGGCTTCCCAGAGGAATGCGGGGATCTGACATCCCATCTGGGAGCTGAAAGATGAGGAGGAGCTGGGATGGCCACGGGGGTGTCCTGGAAAAGGGGTGGAAGGTAATCCTCACACACAGTCGCCAGAGCCTCTGCCCCTGTGTCTCCCCATCTCAGCTGAGGGGACCTCCTTCATCTTTGCCCCCGCCCAAGCCAAAAACCTGGGTGTTGAATTCTTTATGTCATATCCCCCTCACACCCTGATTTTCTTGCTAAATCACAACCCGGCTTCTGCCCAGTTTCCGTTTAGGGGTGAATGCCCCCATGAATGTTCCATTAGCTCCTCCTTCCTTCTACCTACAGCTATTTGCCAACCCGGCCCTGGGACCTTCGGTCCAACATGCCAGCCAAGGGCACCAGCCACCCCTGCTGGCAGTTTCCATTCTCACTGGTGGCCTCAGACCTCACGATGTGCTCTTCTTCCTTCCCCACAGTTTACAGAAGAGGGAAACTGAACCTGGGGCGGGGTGCGGTAAAGTGATGCGCCCAGAGCCATGTGGCCCTTAAGGGGCAGAGCCAGGGGTGCACCCAGTCTGCTCTTTGTGTTGGTGGCAATGAGAAGATGGTGGAGGCTGGAAGCGCTCATCTTTCCGCGTGCTCTACTGGGCATCGTGGGTCTGGGGCAGGCCTCCCGCTTCAGGTCCAGGAGCACAGGGGCAGGACGTGTGGAGCACAGCACCGGCGGTGACCTATCGTGACCACTAGGTGCCACCCAAGTTCTAGAGAAGCGTTGGCAGCCCCACCCTGGAGGGTTTGAGGACTGGCAGGGAGCGGCAGTGATTCCCAGAGAATGGACAAGAGCGGCCTAGGTCTGGGCACAAATGGCATCGCAGCAAAACAGAGCTGGACAGAAGTTGAAGTGGTGAAAGAATTTTATTCAAGAACGATTGCAATGGGGGCAAAGAGACCTCAGAATTCTGAAAAGAAGAGAGGAAAGTGGGGATTTATAGCGAAAGAGCAGGGTCAGGGCTCGGTGGACAGAAAATTGCTAAGCGGGTAGTTGCTAAACTGACGGAGCAGGATTCGTGCTGAAGGCAGGCCGGGTGAGCAGATAGCGCCTGGAGGCGGTGCAGGGTGAGGGTTGGAGCAGGTGCGGAGGGGGGGGTTCTCTCTAAACTGACATACAGGGTTGTTGCTAAAACCGGAGGGTGCAAAGAAGCCCAAAGGTCGAGGCCTAGTTGAGAAGACGTCTCGGAGGAACCCGACTAAAGTGTGGTCAAGGGGAGAGTCTTTGCCAGGCCCTCTGCTGAGCAGTGTATGTCCGTTTCTGCTCGGTCACTTTGCTCACTAGTGACCATCTGTTGAGATTTGGTCGAAGTGGGTATTTACTGGATGGTGGGACCCATCACCATTTAAGTGAGGGGGTTTCTATGGAAACAAAAGAAAAACCAAGGTAATGTTTGGAGGAGAGGAAATGCTGAGTCCAGAGGGCAGCCCATTGGATGTTGGGCTGGGAGCCTCTTTGTGGGTGAAGTCGCAGCGGCGCTCCAGTGGACCCCCTGGATTGCTGTTCAAATGTCTTTGGTGATGGCCTCGTCCTCAGTGTCAAAGCCATGGCGTGACGCATCCAGCTTCAGCTGCTAGGGCTCGTTTAGGTTCAGCCCAGGAAGGGTCTGGGCAGTCGGGTCTTCGTTCCCTGTGACTCCAAGTCAGGAAGGTGGGAGGAAAATCGGAAACCTTGGTTTGGAGAGTTGTAACCAGACCTTGAAGGAAACTAGAAGAATTGACAGGCCGTGCAAAGTGGCAGGATCCAGCGCAGTGTACAGGTAGATAACTACGCAGAACGGAAAACGCGGTTTAACCCAGAGGCCGAAACCTTGCTCAAAGGCAATCGGCACGACTATAATTTAATAGCCCACAAGGGTGCACTATTTGTCTCTCCAGTAACTCCCCTTCTTGATTAGTGTTTACAAAATAAGCCTGATCCCTTTAGATTATTTACAGAAGGGCGGCAAGAATGGTAACGGGCCACATAGGCCTTTCTGAGTTTGCGTTGCCGGAACCTTCCATAAGGAATCTCAGACTAGGCTTTTAAAAGCCTCTCAAGCCCAGGAAGTGAAGCCAAGCACTCACCACCGGTTTTTTCTTGCAATACCATAGATTTGGGTGAAGCCCACTCCGCCCAAGGCCGCCAAGGTAGCCTGTCTCCTGGGTCTGCTGGGAGTTGGCTTGCTCACCTTTGCAGGTACCAGGCTGGTCCTTCCTGGAGGCCTTTGTAAGCATTGGCTCCCTAAAGTCCTCTCCAGTTCTTTATATCATATTTTCTGTTCCTCATTCTCAAGTATGATATTCCAGTCAAGCCTTGGTACGGTAACCAATGTCTCCAATTATGCTCTGTTATAAGGAAACACATTCCTGTTGGACTTATGCAAATAATTATGTTGTCGTGATAATAAGAATACTCAGGGTTTCCAAACTCTGGAAGGATCAGGCAGGGAGAAAAGTTAATGTTTCATTTCTGTTTTTGAAAGTATCTACTAAATGGTAATGAGTTATGGGTAACAAGATAAAAGGGAAAGGAGTTGCTTAAATCCAAAAATTAGAACATTAAAGAACCAGAAATGTTCCAAATAAAACTGCTATCAGA